CCCGTCTTAGGTATCTTAATACCTTTTGACCAGTGCTGCTGCATAGTTTACGAAGTCTACAGGCTTCACTTGTCTATACTGTAGCACTACACATAATCAAATTTCCAGAGTGTTTTTTTTTTTTTGCGCTCATGTTTTTCTCTGGTTATCGTAAAAAAAAAGCATTCACGTTCTATAGCTTTTCTTGCTTCGACGCTTTTAATTTGTTTTTGTTTCATTTAGTTTTTGTTAGAATAGGCCGCTTTGGAACTAAAAGCTGCGTCTCGGATGTATATCTTATGTACTGCTCGTTAGCACGACACGCCTGCCTCACGAAAAGTACGATGAAGAGATACGACATGCTTGACCTGGTAAAGATGGAGTACTCAGACTGCGCAAGTTTTGAAAGTTTCACTGTTCTAGCTGATTAGCTTAGTTAAACGGCACGATCCTTCGTGACAGCATGCCGGAGAGGCACTGACATACTGGTGAACAAGTAACATGCAAAATTAGAGTGTATAAAAAGAAAACGTACGGACCGAAAGTAAAGAGAAGCAACTTTGTCAGCCGGTGGTGCCGGATGTAGCGGCAAGGGCACGTGAACTCCAAAATGAGCGTGTCCCCCTGCGGCTTTGTTTGAAATCAGAGTTCATACCACCGACGCCCAGTCTTCCAAGCGTATGCTGTAATACAGTTGGAGGGTGCTTTCTTTGAATGACCTTGAAGCCCACTTACCATTCACGAGGCTGATGCAGGCTAAATTTGTTTTGGTGATGCTAAGAAAGCGCTACAAGGGCAGAAGTTGTCGTCACAAAACTATGAAGCAGGCAATAAATTAGCGTTAGTGCTTAAATTACTTCCTCACGCTCACGAAATGTCCACGGTTAACTCTTCCGCTCTCCTCTCACCATCCTCCCCTTCCCTCTCTCTATCTCTTCATCTGTCTCTTGGCGGCTTTAGCGGTAACTCTCCTTTTTTGGAACATGCACGTTGAAGACATTGTACAAGGAGGAGTTGTATATAAGCTCATTACCCGGTTCATGCTAGGGATTTTAATTATAAAAAAATACTTGGGACGATCACATATCTAACCAGTATAAAATAGCGTAACACTTACCGCACTCACTCAGTCATTCACGAAGTCTTTCACTCACAGACTTAATCTTGCTCTCATTGACTCCCTCCTTTGCTCACCCTCTCCATCACTCAGTCCACTTACTCTCTTACTCACTTGCTCATCCACTCATCTACTCACTCACCTAACCTCTCAATCACTCACTCACTCGCTGACCTTCTCAGTCACTCCTCACTTTCACTCAGTCTCCCATTCACAGACTCAATTTCACTCACTCACTCACTCACTCACTCACTCACTCACTCACTCACTCACAGCAAGCAATGTCGCCGCACTTCTGTTCTTCCCCTCTATTCAATTTTCCCTCTCGGGTCAAAAGACGGCTCGCATTGCACAAGCCAAACCCACGTGACCTCGGGTTACCTCTGTGTTAGTAAGCACGCAATGCACGAATGTCCAAGTCGCTGCTCTGCGACACAGCACTCTTTCAGAGGTAGACTCCACCCATCTAACCAACAGAAAAGGGAAAACAAGAAATGATGGGGGAAGGGTTACTTCACACATGACGAGTGGCATATTAAGTTCGCATTGGGCAATGTTCACTGCGTTCCGCGCGGTGGCGCCGGCTGCAATTCATTTGTGACGGAAACAAAACAGACGAGGCACTGTTTCGTTCGATTTCCGAGCGTATACGCACACGCAGACGTATACATGGTCAACGACCAACGATTTCGTAGTTGCGTGCAGCACCCATACCGTACATTGTTGTGCACATGAGCTGGATCGGTGCCAGGAGTGAGCCGCGTTAGGGTAGAATAATGGCGTGCCAGATACTCTGACAAAAGATGGCATTACGCGCTTTTTCGAATGTGATCAATTGTGCGAGGAGGACCCCATTTACACTACCTCGATTATCTTTTGTTACTCGGTACTGGCGGTGAAAGAAATCGTTATGGTATTATTCTGAGCCTTCGCTTTTCAGTCGACAATCCTTGGCTTTTTGCCCGTGCTGCATGTAATTTATCCTTTGTAAATGTTCCCTATGTATATGTTCCCGACGTTACCTTTGCTTACATACAGTAACTGTATACTGCATGTCACCGTCTGATAACTTTATTATTTTTTTTTTTACATTTTGGTAACATAACCGCGGGTATGCGTTGAACGTGAATCCACAAATTTTCTAGAAACTAATGCATCTACACTACAGGCACCAACTAGTGAATTGAAAAGAACCTGTCTCTACGATTCTTAGTGTGGTTCAATTTCATTATTTATTTGTAATTTTTCATTTGTGTCAACTTTCACTTAGAGGTTACAACAGTCCCGTAGAATATCAAAGGGAACTATCCCTACGTGGGATTAGTCGGGTGGCATGGGGTCTCCCTGCGTCTTGTATGGACCAAAATAAAGTTTAAATCATCATTATCATCATCATCAATATTATCATCAACAATAGAAAGCGAGCTTCACCTCATAAAGATAATTAAAGTGGTGAAGCCAGCATTTAAGGAACAATAATTTCTTCAAAGAATGAAAAAAAATCTGGGCAGTATAAATGACGAAACATTGTATTCTATACTTTTCTTAACTAGGCGATTGTTTGCGCTTACATAACCTATTTGTATAACCTCTTCGCAAACTTGACCAAGCCTGCTTTCTGCAGTGGCTACAAATTACAAGTGGTTGGTTTATGAAGTGTAGTGCAACATAAGCCCCCCCCCATGCAACCTCCCCTCTATTCGGGCTGTTAATTGCTCAGTAAGGGTCAAACATGGACGCACACCAAAGATGCTGTTGTAAACTCTCAATCCATAGGTAGCTTTATTGTACATTTGTGGACATAAATCTATGAATCATGCGCAAGTGCAATATTTCTATTTACGCTGTTAATAGTAATCTCTCATCGGATCCCGTACACACTTGGAAATTTCGTTTTAGTCACTCGTTAGCAGCGAGAAAATGAGTCCAAAAAAGTGAAAAATAAACGTCTCAAACCTAAATAAAATATACAGGGTACTATCGTTTTGCTGTGTTTGAAGAGAAGTGTTCCATGTTGAGGCCATGTTCCACAAAATCAGATCGGTTACCTATTTGTGAGAAGTATGATTTGTTATTTCGATTTATGCGATAGTTGCGACAATTTAGACGGAGTCATGGTCACTAGCAGCACAAGTCTCCTCCTCAACTAAAAAAAAAAGAAAAAACTAACAGACGATCAATAGCACGCGCGCACAAAGAATTGATTACGGTGGAGATACTGGAAGACCAATGTGTCGTGTGTACAGTATACATTACTTTGACCAGTACGTAGGCATTTTCCCATTTCTTGGCTGCTTGCGGATTATGCCGCTCCCACTCGCATTCACGATTCGTTTCTCCCATCCGGATTACCAAAGTACATCAAGTGAAATTGTTTCCGTTGCCGCCGTAAAACGACTGGCATGTTTCGAGGGCTATAAGGAAGTGAGGGCGATACGGAACCGAGCCAAGCCAAGCCGTCTTAGTTTGGAGCACTGGCTCGCATACACTTGGCACTCGGTTGCCGCCGTTTAGAGGGACTCGTGTTCTCAAGATTCCAGAACGGAGTCCCAGGCCAGCTCGCAAGCACTCAAACTTTGTACCCACGAAAGAGTTCTTCACTTTTCCTCCCCCACGGCGCGTCTCGTTCAGCACAGACGCCATTTCGTCTATCTGAGGGCGCTCCTTTCCGCCCAAGACTCTTTGTCGAATGAGCGGAATACTCATGCCAACGACCAGCAAGTAAAATATAAAGCAAGAACAGCCAGCAGCAAAAGAAAAACAGCGAGAGTGGCGGCGAGTCTGGCCAGCAAGACAGTAAAAATAAAAAGGGTCGAGTCAAGCCCAGAACGAAGCCTGCGGAGCGAAGTGAAAGCGGTGCGACGTTTTCCCCCATCAACGTTCGTCTGCTCCAGAGTGCCGTCTGGACAGCAAAAAGGATTGAGGAGGTTGTGGTGCGTACGCACTCATGCCAGACGTTCATGATGTCTGCTGCGCCTGTGTCGTCTGCAGAGAGAGGGGAGTGCGTATACGGAAGCCAATATCGTTACGTCTCAACATGTTTCCTTTTCTTTTTTTTTTGTTTTCCAGCTTTATAATTTTCATAGCGTTGAGGATTTGTCGTTCTGGAAGAGTGAGCGAGTGTATGGAGAATAAAAAGCTCGGGTCATGTGGAAATTATATATTTATACGCGTACGCAAGTCACCATTTTTCGGCATTGTTTTTGTGGCTGCTATATCCACCCATGGTGTTTTTTTGCGAAACGAATCGCGGTAGTAATCTGTGTTTTTAGTGCGGTCATATGTGTCCCCTGTCGCGAGTAATTTCCTCACTTCGTTGTTTGACCCGGTCTTCGCCTTTCATGTGATTTTATAAATAAAACAGTGACAACCCGGAACTATAGCGATAAGTAACAAGAGAGAGAGAGAAAAGGAGATACGGAACAAATACTCTTTAGGTGCAAATCTTTTCAAAGCAAATGGAAGCTATAGTTTTGGACCATAGCCGTGCGAAACACGCTTTATGCTTCTGTTTACAGGATAAAAACATGTAAATAGAAAGCCTATTTATAATTAGGCAGTTAATTGAACGCGGTAGTGTAGGAGTGTGTATGCTATTTTCTGTTTGTTTCAACGCCACTAACTATCGTACTGTGGATTGCTCCAAAGCGATGTTAAATTATGAGACTTTTCGTCTTCTTTTGTTGTGCTCGTGGCGGTTCACGAAGAGTTGTTTTCGTAAATGGGCTTTCCATAACTGTAAACTTTACTCGTATGCGACGCTCATTCGCTTTGACGCAAACAGCGATCCACAGTTTATAAGTTCCTTTCATATAACAATAAAAGAAAGCTTAAAATTTACAAGAAAGTGTTGTACGAGTATAATAAAAGGTTGTCAATTGCAGTTTTTTTTTCTCTCTTTCAGATTGTATAACCTGCACAGACAGCACTTAAATGGGGATCGATTCATGGTATCATCACATCACTGTGTCATCGATTTCGAAACAATCATTATCAATTTGTGGATTGGTGTCACATGCATACCAACCCCTGTGATATTACAGTTGTGTTGCAGTACTTACGAATAAACCGAATAAAAATACACAGGTAGGATATTACGTTGCGTCTTTTCTTCTCGTCGTATACATATACGTCGTCTGTTCGTGCTGTACAGCTTATCGAATCAACCAGGGTCATATCTTTATGACGTCATTACTTCATTTAATTTACCATATATTAGTGAAGTAACCAAAAGGAAGTGTTTTGCGCATGCTATGTTTGTATACCACGCTAAGAAAATTTGAACAATTACTTTTTCCCAAGAAAACTCCTGAATCCACCGGTAACTTAATTGTCATGTGTCACGTGGGAACTAATGTCACGTGGAAAAGCCTACAATAAATGACAGTCAGTTTTGCAAGCAAGAAATTTTAGAAAAAATAAGAGGTGCTTCACAAGCAGTTCCAGAATAATTCATTGACAAAAGAAATGTTTTTCGAGCTTATACTGCGGAAGAAATGGTGGCTGCAAGCCTTCTGTCAAGTTGCTTGTATTTCAAGCAACTTTTACCCGCCGTCTCCTCCATGGTTGATGGAAATGAGGAAATTATTATTATTATTATTATTATTATTATTATTATTATTATATTATTATTATTATTATTATTATTATTATTATTATTATTATTATTATTGTTGTTGTGTTGTTGTTGTTGTCATTGTCGTTGTCATTGTTATTGTTATTGTCGCCATTGTTATTGTTATTGACATTGTCATTGTTGTCGTCGTCGTCGTCGTTGTTGTTGTTGTTGTTGTTGTTGTTGTTGTTGTTGTTGTTGTTGTTGTTGTTAAACATCTAGTGGCTTAAAATAACAGCGTAGTGTTGATTAGCGTTGCCTACTGATCATCAATGTAGGTTTGTTGTGGGTAACTGTTGGCTAAAGGCGTTTATCGGGTGTTTTAGTACCATCTATATTGTCTATTTATATTTTTAAAAAATGTGTTCTATTATGCACTTAATAGCCTAGACAAATACATCTTCCCACGGTGAAATGTGCCTCAAATTTCGTAAACAGAGCTTCGAGATGTGAAGTAAGTGTTGAAATTGGTAAACACTTTCGGTGCCCATCAATAGGCACATGTCCCGCCTTAGGGCTTTGTTACAAGCGTCACGTGTGTGTTAAATTTCATCAAACTTCGTTGTGACGCGGCAAAGTCGGACGTGGGCACCAGAAAGAAACGTAGATGACACAAAGCGTAAACTTGCAACAAGCGTTTCTTTCCGCTTTGCAACGGTACTTGTAACATTCACCATCACGTTAAAAGTCTGTACTTCTCTGCACACGGAATTGACGATGTGGGTCACAATACCACAAGGATCGATGGAGTTCGTGTACGACATAGCCCGTTGAACAAGAAATGAAGTCAATAAGGGCGGAACCATGGGCTTTGCCACGCCACAACAAAGTTTAAGAAAACGACCCACTGCCAACAAGCCCACTTATCTATCCTTGCTGCTTGTCAAAGCTTCCTTACGCAACCTCTGGCCAAATAATGACGCAAGTGTCTGGCGTATTACCCACGTTCAAGCTTTTATAGCTAAAATATCGGTTTAATTAGTTTCGGTGTAGCTATAGCTCTTCGAGGCTAATACATTTCTTATCTTTGCTAATATTTTTATATTTTTTTCGTGGAAGCACGCGTTGCCACCCCCCCCCCCCCCAAGATTAAAAGAATGAAAAATAAAACATTCAAATCTTAACGCAACACTGGAGCGTGTTAGCAACCCACTGATCTTCTGAAGCCAAATATACATTGAGTACTCTTCCTGAATCTATAAGTCTAGCCACTGGGGAGGCCATGGACCGTAGGAGCGATTTCTGTAACACTGAAGCGAATAGGTGATGTCGAAACCGTGGGAAAAGCTGCGACACTTGGAAGAACATTTTGTAGAGTGCCATACATCGTTTACATGCCGAACCGAAATTGCATCACTTCCTGTTTCGTATAACTATTCCAATTTTTCTTTGCTTGCTCTGCGAAGCCCCTTTTGAAATTTTTTGTTTTCATTAAAGTTCTGAAGAAGTAACATAAATGCCCTTGTTTCTTTATTCACGGTTTCTATTTTAAAAAAAAATCAGACGAATGCAGTGTACTATGATTGATAGGTTTAATGCAATGATGTGTCGGCAAAAACGGGTGAACCAATCCATCAATTCACGATAACTCGTTGCACAAGGAGGAGGACTGAAATAACAATAAAAACTTTAATGCTGCATCGCTGTCTTTCCAGCCGCCTCTATAATGTGCTTTCTGAAAGTGCTTACACAATCTCGCAGATGGTTTTCGGGGAGCATATTATGCACGTGCAGACATGATCGTGATGGTGTATGGGCAAAGTAGCATAATGGTTGTGATGACAAATCTTATGCAGGAATTGCTGCACGATACGGGGTCACATTATTATTCATATTTCTCTCTTCAAACACTCGTCTTGGGGCAGCTATTCATGAAGTAAAATAAAAAAAGGCAGATCTATGAAACCAATCATATCGCGACTTCATACGGTCGACAGAAAAGTGCATATGGGGGCCAGTTTCGATTCCATGTATCCCCCTCTCCTTACCTTTTTTATAATCAGAATATCAATAAAAATATATAAATAAAATAAATGAAGAAAAACGCAGCAACGGGGACAAGAAAAACAAATGACAATACCGACGACGTCGTTCCACGTCTTCCACCTTTTGATAAAGAGCGATGACTGCGACAAAAAAAAATGATAACAGAGGGAAGAGAGAGGGGGGACGTAAAAAATAAAGGAGAAACTACAAGGAAAAGTGGCCGAAAGTGAAACTGCGGAGCACGCTTCGAAAGGATCAGTATTAAAGAGTGTAAATCTAGTCGCGTTGAGCCTACACAGACGCTTCTGGCACGTTGCCAGCCGTACCGCTCCGACGACGAAACGGCGCGGAGAATGTCTTCCGCAGTTTGTGCGCTACGACTACAGCACCTTGGAAAGTTTATTCCATTAGAGAGTAATACAAGTAAATCGAAACGCGAATCAGCGGGTCGTACTACAGCGACGTCAATGTGGGACACGTTCGTGAGATTCAACGCGCGTCCCGCATGTATGACATCTGTGTCTTTAAATTGTATAGCGGCGTTTTTGGAAAATCGGTCATGTGTAGAGTCATTGTGTCGAGACAAGAGGTCGCGTTGCATCATTAGTGAATTGAATGAAGTTCTGATGCTGTTGTTGAATGTGCGATATCTGCGTATCTTTTTGTAAATAAGTTCAGTGGAGACAAGTCCTAAACATGAAGCCTAATTTAAACCTGAGCGCGACGCTTATTGAAGCAGATGTGACGATAAATGGCAGATTCAAGATATCTGGATGGGTTTTAGATATCTCTTAGAAGACATGATATCAACTTGAATATACTTCTTCGCACACGCATATGCGATGTGATAAAACTTTGGTTATCAGAATACAGCGTACCAGCATTGTTGTTTTAGATATGTCTTTGAAGACAAGATATCAACTTGAATATACTTATTCGCACACGCATATGCGATGTGATAAAACTTTGGTTATCAGAATACAGCGTACGGAATTTTTGTTATAACTTATCAGTGAACGTGTTCGCTTAACTATAAGTATACTTTAATCTTAGAATACTCCTATTTATTAAGCAGTGGTAAGCCTATTCGCCTTATGTCCCTTTCTTAATTGCAAAAATAATCAGGTTCTGGAATATATACTTCGCATAAGTACATTGTTTTGTCGGTGTCGCATATCCCGAGTACAACCTGGATGTATCTTTTTCTTTTTATTTCATTTTATGTCTACAACATTATAATTGCAAAAGTTTAGATATTTATTGACTTATATATAAATTTAATGACACTCTATTTAACAAGTGTATTCGGAAATTAGTAGTGTATAATGGTTTTTGGGCATGAATGTGTGAGAGCGCCTTAAAAACTATCTCATTAATTTGCTGTTCTTTGTAAAGAAACAACATGAACTCAAAACCGCCCAAGTTGGTCACCTTCATAAACTGGGCAAGATTTCTAGTGGCGAGCTTTATTGCCTTTTTAAAATTGAAATTTTGTTTCTTCAATATGTTCTGATAGGCCACAATTGCTGCTGAACCATCAATTGATGACACACAGTTGTAGTACAGTGCTCATATTCGGCGTATTTTTTATTTCTGCATTTGAATTTCTCATTTGTGCAATGCTTGATCAAAATTCTCCCACTGCTCAACGCGTCCCTCACGAAAGCAAACACTGAACGAAGTGCAAATTTATCCAAAAAGTAAGCAACTAAACAAGCGCATAAAATAGCATGCTCCGAATTTCTGTGGGTTTCCTATTCTTGGTATATAAAATCAATACAGGCCATTCTATCAAGCACGGGAACCAATGCGAACCGATATTATAACCTTACTCAACGAGACGGCAAGCTTGCAGGGTGTTGTTGTAATGCTTATTCGTATACTTAAGAATCACGAGAACAGTGCAGCCATCACACAACGGTGCGCATCTACGATAACGTATTCCTGTGTCGATTTCTATTTCACGTTTTCGTACCGTATACGTGCTCGACGAATAACAATAGACAGAATAATCACGTGACTAGCTATATAAATCACGAGACTTCGTACCGATACGAAGCGACGTGGTGCAACAACAGACAAAAACACTTATTATCGTTTTGTATAAGAGCACCATTTCTTTTTTGGTCTGTACGTTTCTTGGTGCTTTTATTGCAGGCAAACTTTTTAATGATGAAGCACTTTCGCTTGATTGTGAAAAAGCTTCTCAATATAATTTAGAAAAAGATTAAGTAGCTCTGCTGAGTTATTTTCTTTCAATGATTAAGTTGTTTACGCTGGCGCAGCTTGGGGTTTGTGTACCTGGACTGAGGAGGCCACCCACAGTAGGGCTGAAGTATAAATGGCCTGGTCAAATAAAATTCATCTCTCTCTCTCTCTTCAAAATTGCATGTGTATATTCAAGTCTAAACGCACAGGTGTACAAAAGGTGCTTGAGTCCTCCTCTTTTCACGTTAACCTCCCCCTTCCTTCCCCTCCCGAAGAAGAAATC